AGGAAGGAAGGAAGGAAGGAAGGAAGGAAGGAAGGAAGGAAGGAAGGAAGGAAGGAAGGAAGGAAGGAAGGAAAAAGAAGGTAAGTAAGGGAGGAGACAGGATGAGAAAGGGAAAGAGCGAGGGTGAGAAAGGGAAAGAGAGAGGGTGAGAAAGAAAGAGGAAGAGGAAGGAAGAAAAGATTAAGAAAGAAAAAGAGAAAGGAAAGAAAAATAAAAGGAAGGAAAGATTTGAATGCGAGAAAGCATTTATAGAAGGGGACTCTTAATATAACGATTTTTTATTTTAGCAAACCATACAAATTGCTTTGCTAAGCACAACTACAAAAACGAATAAAATATACCGCTCACCCCTTTTTTTTTTGCCTGTGGCTTAAAATACCCACATATTTTGGTAGGTGAGGGGAGTCAGCACAGATTCTACTATAATCAAACCTCCAAATAAACACCTACCAACAGGTAAATTGGGATTTGATTGCTGTAGCTTTTATTTGTATTTCAAAAGCTATCCTCTTCCACCTGGGCCGTTTCCTTAGAGAAAGAAAGCAACACACCTGCACTCTTTTATCTGGAGAGAAACACCCTGTTCAAACACCCATAAATTAAGCTGCCAGACCAACCTCTACCATGCCAGGCCAAAAGGCTGGGAATTGGGTTTCTAAAAGTTATTGCCATGAGAAAGAAAAACTTAAGAATCCAGTTGGAGGGAGGGAAGGAGGGAAGGGAAGGAGGGAGGGATTTTAGCAGGATTAACCCCAGGTGCCAGATCCATAAAACAAGAAGCAAACGGTTCTACCTCCGTCAACATCTGTAGTAGCAGCTACGGAGACCCTGCCAGGATGAACCCTTCCACTCCCTTACAAGAAGACGATAGTTGCCACCATGCCACACCTGTTCAGAGACTTTGTGTAACCTCCACACACACCCAATGATTAACCAGGGCAGGAAAGGAAGGCAGGATGTAATTCTCCCAAGCCAACATGCACCAATTTCCTTATTCTGTTGCTGTTTTTTCTCTCTCAAAGTGTAAATACAGCAGGTCACTTACTCAGCCTGAGCCGGTGGATCTCGGCAATCTGTCGAAAAGAAAAGAAAAGAACTCCTATCAGTTGTAACCTGAGAAATTTTCCAGGAGTGAAGAACAGCCTTCTCTGGTATTTTAGTCTTTCTACTTTGCGGGCTTCTGGGAACAAGTGTGATTGTGAACCTGACTGCATTTCCTACCTACGGCTGCTAGGAATATAGGCAGTCCTCAATTTACGACCAAAACAGAGCCTAACATCATTTCTGTTGTTAAGCAAGACAGAGAAGTGAATTTGGCCCCCATTTTCAGACCTTTCTTGTTGTTAAGTCAGTCACTTGGTTGTGACCCCAAGACACTGCAACCGTCATAAATATAAGTCAGTTGCTATGAGTCTGAATTTTGATCCTGTGGCCACAGGGCTGTTGGTGAATTTGAGCGGTCACTATACGGATTGTTTGTATTGCACTGACTTTTAAAACATTGTGGAACTGCATTCTGTTTGGGATAGATGGTGATTTATAAAAAAAATCAGGCGACGTTTGGAAGTCTTGATTAATATGATGATAATATTCCAAAACAACTGGAGCAATGCGGTGAACACCGTCGGCATTGACAAAATCCCCAAAGGTCAACTGCAAGAGGGCAGTTTTATTAGGGAAACTCTTACATCCTGAGATGATACTTTTAATACTGTGTTTTTCCCGAAAATAAGACCCTGTCTTATTTTATTTTATTTTTTGCCACCAAAAAAGGCACCAGGTCTTATTTTCAGGGGAAGTCATCCACTGACTAACTTCACTTGCGTGCATTGCCACCAGCCTCCTTTTCGCTGTCAGCCTTCACGAACGTCTTCTTCTGCGGCTGGCAAGGCTATCCTGAAGGCCTCTGCAGTGGATAAGAGCTCAGGATCGATCCGGAGTTTTTGTTATTAGCTACAGATGCTTTCAGGAAAGTCTTGCTGGCTGCAGAAGAAACGGGCCTGCAAGGCAGGTGTCGGGATGTGTGAGGCCTGGCTACAACTGTCCAAAGGTAAGTAGTAGGGCAGCTCCACCATCCACTATCCCCACCCTAGGTTAATTTTTACCTGTCCACGCTGAACTGGGCGGGATCTTAATTAGGGCTTATTTTGAAGGTAAGGCTTATATTGGGCGTATGTGCAAAAATCAAGCTAGGACTTACTTTCAGGTAGGTCATATTTTTGAGGAAACGGGGTATTATTACACCACAACACTTGCCTATCCCGGGTCCTTAGGGAAGGACTCCACAAGTGAATAATAATGCCAGATCCGGTCTAAACGTCTGTCTGACTGGCCATCAACCATAGTAACAGGCCCAGAGTCGCGCCCTTGGGTGGGTTGTGTAAGTGGATTAAATCGCTACATAAAATCTGAACGGGGGCCAAACGAGATCTGAACGCTTGCCTCCCGCCGGACTGCCCTTACCAAGGCGGGCGCTGGAGTCAGAGGGCGTCAAGGGGACACGGTCCTCCAGGAGGGCCTCTTCCGCGTCCCAGCTGCCCAACGGTTCCAGGTCTTCGCTGATGCTGGACCTTCGCCTGGGGGGTGGGTCCTGCAGCGCCCCCTTGGTGCCCAGCTCCGTCCGGGCATTGCTCACCACAAGGTGGATCGCATCATCCTCTTCGCTATCTTCAAATTCAAAGGCTTCTCCGGCGTCTTCGATGTCCCCCTCGCTCCCTGCAGAGAGAGGAAATATTGTAAATTCGGGCGGGAAAGGAACTAGTCCTCATGAAACACTCCGTTAAAGATCGGAGAACCAAGCCAATTCAGACCTTGGGTTTCCTGGCCTGAATGTGGACCTGACTTTTATAAAATGAATTCATATTATCCGTTTCAACCACTTTCTGTTCCTTCCTAATCCGCTTTTTTTTAACCTGCTTTAAAAAAAATAGTCCTCTAATTATGACTGCAATTGAATTCCCACTGCTAAGCAAGCTGGCTGTTTTAGTGAATTGTGGCTGGTTTTACGGCGTTGATTTTGCAACCGCGGTTACATCAATCCTCTGGTCGTTAAACGGATCACTGAGTCTGCTTGTCAAAAACCAGCTGGAAAGGTTACAAATGATGAACACGTGGCCCTGGGACGATGCCAGCATGGTAAATACATGCCAGTTGCCCTTGATCATTTTATTTTACTTTTTGTAAAAGAATGGGGCTCTTTTAGTATAACTTGCAAGATTATTGTCTTCAAACTTGGCAGCTTTAAGACTTCTGGACTTCAACTCCCAGGATTCCTCCTCCTCCAGTCATGTTAGCTCAGGAATTCTGGGAGTTGAAGTCCACAAGTCTTAAACTTACCAAGTTTGAAGACCCTTGCTCTAGCTTTTATCTGTATTTGTATTTTATACAGGGGGTCCTCTAATTACGACCACAATTGGAACTAGAATTCCCATTAAGCAAGGTGGCCACAGGGGCGATGTGACGAACATACGCAACAAGGGCTGGTTGTGTAAATCACTTTTTTTCATGGCTGGTGTAACTTAATCAATCAAGTAAGCTGTAAGTGGAGAATTACCTGTATATATTTTCTTTATCTTTAATTGCAGTGCCTTTATCAAAGGTGGATCATGCTGGACGCTGCAAACCCCAATACATAAATAAATTTGGGGTTGCCAAAGAGAAAGAAAGAAGCATCTTGAACAAGGTTAGTAAAATTAGAGACCCTCGGACTTTTTAAATTTAAATCAGGTTGGTGTTACTGTTATTTATTCAGATAAATAACTAAATAAATGGTTACTGTCTCTCCTTGAAACAGACCCTTCTAGACCCAATGTTAGTAATTTGTTCTTATATTGTCTAGGGGGGATGGCTCCTCATATATCACTTCTTTGGTTTCCAATTTTTTTTTTAAAGAGCTGTAACCATCAGAGGAGAATGCTGTAATTCCCCTTGGTCAAGTTTTTGGTGACCAATTGTTTATGATTAATTTTCCCATGTTCTTCTTTTATTGTACTTATGTTTTGGTCTGTGACTGCAAATAAAGTATTATTATAACTAAATAAATGAAGAATAACTTACTTTATTTATAAATAACTAAATAAATAAATGAAGAATTCTATTCTATTTCTATTCTATTCCCTATTTCTATTCCTATTCCTATTCCCTATTCTACTCTACTCTACTCTATTCTATTCCCTATTCTATTCCTATTCCTATTCCCTATTCTATTCTATTCTATTCTACTCCACTCCACTCCACTCCACTCCACTCCATTCCATTCCATTCTATTCTTTATTCTATTGTATTGTATTGTATTGTATTGTATTCTATTCTATTCTATTCTATTCTATTCTATTCTATTCTATTCTTATTCCTATTCCTATTCTATTCTATTCCATTCTATTCCCTATTCTAT